ACATCAAGAAATGGTTAGATATTCTAGTCTTCTCGGATAGGGACGAATAAATGGAGGTCCCGTCTCCTGCAGGGTTGGGGTAGGAGACGTTAATTTCCCACACACGAGATTACTGTGTGATGGATGTTCTCCACTGGGGTGGGATCAGAGGGCCACAGGATTATCAGTTTAACTACTGTGAAGTGCTACCCTCTTGAAATAAAGTCTCTCTCTCTCCCTTTCTATCTGGAGAGAGATAACTTGCTGTCAAAATTGAGAACGAAAACAATAACAAAACAAAATCTGATCCCTTCTTATATTGTTGGCAGCCGATAGAGCAGTTGTCTAAATTAGTTGAAATTTTCAATTTCACGTTAATTACTTAGCTTATTACCTTTATCACACCGTATATATGGGGTCATATTCAATAAATTCTAAGAAAATTTCGCTTTCCTAGTTATAATTACCAAGATTAGTGATAAATGTTTCATGTTACGACAGAGATTACAGTATTAATTCTTTCTGGACAACTTCGTCTTCAGGCAAAAGCGCATTTGATGTTTTGACACTGAGACTCGGAGGCGACCGGCTGCTTTTTCTACTGACGATTCTTGTAAATGCCGAATTGATCTTGCTGCTCAGGAATATGTAAAGCCATGGGTTGATGGCGCTGTTGGCGTGACCAAACCAAAAGCACACAAACATGACAATCGGCTGAAGAGTTACCTCAATATTCCATGCTTGCATGTCAAATATCATGTGAACCACCTGTCCTGGGAGCCAGCAAAGGGCAAAGGTACAGGTAACAATGATGGGCATCTTAACCACTCTCCTCTTCGAGGTTTCGAGTTACTCTCGGTTTCCTGTCAAATGTTCCACTCCAGGTGCAACATGGAACCATAACCTCCGTGCGGTAATAGTATAAATGACAGAAATAACACTCAAAGGGATCAGATAGTTGACCACTACCAGGAGGAGGTATATCCCTCGCAGGGCCCTGAATGGATCACCCAAAACGTAAACAGATAGCATGCATTGGGAATTGTGGTCTTTCACGGTTTGAACAACCAGGAAAATGGACATAGAGGCCAGTGACAAGATCCAAATAAATGGTACTGTCAGTTTAGGCTTTCGGAACCAAAGATGGTGGCGGAAGGGATGAACAATGGCATAGTATCTATTGACTGCCATAAATGTCAGGCAGAGGATGGACGCCGTTATAGTGACAAAGGCAGTGTATACGATAAATTTGCACGTGATTTCTCCCATTATTCCTGATATTATCCATAAGCCGTCTGTATAGAGTTGGGAAATCGATTAGTGCATCACAACCAACGTCACCAGCAAATCAGCGATGACCATGTAGACGAACATGAAGCTTGTCAGCAATCTTACTTCAGGTTTCTTCCACACGATATGGATGAGGAAACCATTCCCTGCAAATGCTACGAGCATCGCGATGGCGTACAGGACTGTGAGGATAACCACCTCGGTCTCTTTTAACGTCATCTTCGGTTTCTGTTTTTCTGTTGCTAAAATTAGATAAGATGACCCTGATATTACTATTTGATGAATCACGAGTTAACAGCCGTAGCTCCTTAAATCTTATCTGATAGCAACCTCGTTTTCGAGATAAATGAAGTACACGCCTAACATGAAGCAAAACCAATTCCGCTAAACATTTACTGGATAAAAGTGAAGCTGTAGCAGTAAGAGGAATCCATTGGGAATTCATAGGGAAAAACCTATAAGAACTTTTTTAAAATCAAGCTCACTCTGGTTTAGACCGATGTTCCTGGACGTCAACGGAGCAGTGAAAAGGCCGGAAGGAATTGCTGGAAACAGGAACAGGCAAGGAAAAACACATTTAGAGTTTCCTGATAAATAATAATAACTTTGTGATTGATGATGAATCTAAGAACCAAAGTGATAGTAAAGCTTCGGTTTAGACTCTAAGTTAGCGCAGATGTCGTAAAAGTGACGTCATCCTTGTAACCTCGCAACGAGAAACCAAGGGTGGTCTTTACGATATTGTGTTTTGTAAAAGAATAGGCTAAGATCGACGCGATACGAAGCGTGTGACGACTAGAATAAAGATAGGGAAAAAACTACGCGAGTGACTAGTGTTGCTGTACAGGGAATTCCAACACTAACTGCTACCTCCGACGGGACTGAGATCGAGATATGGAACTGGAGGCACTNCGGTTTGAACAACAGGGAAAATGGACATAGAGGCCAGTGACAAGATCCAAATAAATGGTACTGTCAGTTTAGGCTTTCGGAACCAAAGATGGCGGCGGAAGGGATGAACAATGGCATAGTACCTATCGACTGCCATAAATGTCAGGCAGAGGATGGACGCCGTTATATTGACAAAGGCAGAGTATACGATAACTTTGCACGTGATTTTTCCCATTATTCCTGATATTATCCATAAGCCGTCGGTATAGAGTTGGGAAATCGACCAGGGCATCACAACCAACGTCACTAGCAAATCAGCGATGGCCATGTTGACGAACATGAAGCTTGTCAGCGATCTTACTTCAGGTTTCTTCCACACAATATAGATGAGGAAACCATTCCCTACAAATGCTACGAACATCGTGATGGCGTACAGGACTGTGAGGATAACCACCTCGGTCTCTTTTAACGTCATCTTCGGTTTCTGTTTTTCTGTTGCTAAAATTAGATAAGATGACCTTGATATTACTATTTGATGAATCACGAGTTAACAGCCGTAGCTCCTTAAATGTTATCTGATAGCAACCTCCTTTTTTGAAGATAAAATAAACCACACGCCTAACATCAAGCAAAACCAATTCCGCTAAACATTTACTGGATAAAGGTGAGGCTGTGAGCAGTAAGAGGAATCGATTGGGAATTTATGGGGAAAACTTATAAGAGCTTTTTTTTAAAATCAAGCTCACTCTGGTTTAGACCGATATTCCTGGACGTCAACGGAGCAGTGAAAAGGCCGGAAGGAATTGCTGGAAACAGGAATAGGCAAGCAAAAACACATTTCGAGCTTATTGATAAATAGTTATAACTTTGTGATTGATAATGAATGTAAGAATCAAAGTGTCTAAGAATAAAAGTGAAGGTAATGCTTAGGTTTAGACTCGAAGTTCGCACAGATTATCAGAAAGAAGCAGTAGCAATAACGATTTCATTTCACTTAATCTTTAATTCCCAGTTTAATACCTGGTAGAACAAAGATAGCACTGGAGTTAATGAACGATATAGTATGTAAAGACACCAATGGCACATAATAGAATTTTTTTGGAAACAGAGAATCAATCTCCCCTTGAATTCGCTTTGCAACATCAACTTATTCTCCTCTAAATTATTGAGTTTAGAGGCGTTAATTGCCTTTTGACAATACATTACAATGTACCTGCGATAGAATGTATGGGAGACCACTGCCACCTTAAAGACTTGTAATCTCTTAGCTCTAAAGGAAGAGAAAATAAGGAAAATAAATACATTTCAAGTTCAATGATCCGAGTGTTTCTTCAGGTTGATGTAGACTAAGAGACACCGTATACCTCTAGACAAGCTTGACAACCTTGCTTCCCTCGTCCAACGGTTTGAAAACTCAGAAGCCCGAGACTGATGAACTTGAGGAACTACTGAGTTTAATCCTGATCAGTCCTTTATTTTAACATTTCAAGATGATTTGTCTTGAATATTAATTCGGGTATTGGGCACGCATCTCCTCGAGACAGCCAGACAGGAATATCAAACTTAAATGTTTGCATGAGTGGGGCTTAAAATGAATTGAAATCCAGCATGGCTCATATTAATAGTCCATCCACGTACAACACGGGCTTGTGTCTTCCGCTTTGAAAGTCAATAAAAACTGATGAAAGCTCAAATGCGGCAGAGGACAAACTAACAAACACCCGCCGGCTTGGTGGGTATTTCGCTTTGAAGCAAGTCTTATTTTACATGATGTGTGCGAGGGTTATACTATTTTTGTAAGAATGTAACTCATAACGTAATGAATCGAATGCCTTAAACTTATATGACAGCGATGGGGATAACTCAGAACCTTTAGGAGAGTCTGGGCCACGTCCTTATCAACATGAGCCGCGTAGAGTTTACCGAAACGGTGATAGCGATGCCGATATCGGTTCTAATACAGATACAGATGCCGATACAGATGCCAATACAGATGCCGATACAGATGCCGATACCGGTTCTGATACAGATACAGATGCCGATACAGATGCCGATACAGATGCCGATACCGGTTCTGATACAGATACAGATGCCGATACAGATGCCGATACAGATGCCGATACAGATGCCGATACAGATGCCGATACAGATGCCGATACAGATGCCGATACAGATGCCGATACAGATTATGAAATCAACACAAACACACCATTCCCAGAAACAAGGCAGCTTTAATGCGAATAACATTAACTGTTGATAAAGCGAATGCCCGATCCAGTACACAAGCAAGAAATAAAAAAACAAACTTCATGCAATGCATGAGTACATCGAGCTTACGTTTGGATTGTCTGCAATGTTCATCGCGAAAAGCTGTCAAAGTATTTAACCACGCAGACACGCGGTTTCTTTTCATGGCAGTAGCTGCATTGTTCAAACTACCCATGACAAGTCTTCTCACTTGTTAAAGTGCGAAAGTAGTTAGCTACATCGACCTCGCATTACGCCGACCGGCCGCCATGAAAACAGGTTGAATTGTTGCGCGCGTTGGTTAATGGGATACGGCATTAAAATGTCTCTCCCCAGGCCCCCGCAATGACGTCACAGATCACCTGAAAAAGAATGTGCATTGGAACTATTTACGTCACTTTGTAACTTATTTAACAAGTCGTTCGAATCCGGCTCACTACCCAACGACCGGAAAATTGCACACGTTATTCCAGTCTATAAAAAGGGACTAAAATATAAAAAGGAAAACTATCGCCAAGTCTCGCTAACACCTATCATCAGTAAAATGGCGGAGAAGATTGTGAAATCAAGAGTTGTCTCATTTTGGACGGAACACCAAGTACTAAACCCAAGCCAATTTGGATACTTGGAAGGCCGATCGACAGTGTCACAACTTTTAAGCTGTTATAAATGACTGGTGCTTAACAAGAAATTCGTCTAAAGTGTCTGATATAATATTTCTGGACCTGTCAAAGGCGTTCGACAGTGTCCCTCATGAGCGCCTACTTTTAAAACTCAATAGGTACGAGATAGACGGACAACTGCACCTGTGGTATAGGAACTTCTTAACCAATCGAAAACAGAGAGTTATGGTTCGTGGATCGTACTCGGATTGGTCACCTGTTACATGTGGTGTCCCTCAGGGCTCAATACTGGGACCGATTATGTTCCTTATTTATGTGAACGAAATACCTGGCATCATAACGTCTACCGCCAAATTATTTGCCGATGACACCAAATTCTACCGACAGATAAATAATGTAGAAGATTCTATTGCTTTACAGATAGATCTGACCACCCTCGACCTATGGGCGGATCTTTGGCAGATGAAATTTAATTCTACCAAATGTGAAGTCATGAGAATTACACGTAACAAAGACAAAAAGTCCACACGGTACAATATATCGAGCCGTACAGTGTTGAGGAATGTATCTAATTACAAAGATCTTGGAGTTATTATGACTAGTGATCTGAAATGGTCAAAACATGTTGAACAAATAGTTCACAAAGCAAATACGGTTCTTGGCTTACTTAAACGCACAGTAGGCGGTAAAAATAAAGATTTTTTTTCAAATTTTTATACAAAACCTTCGTTCGTCCAATCTTGGAATGCGCTTGCCCGGTGTGGTCACCACACCTCATCAAAGACATCGATGAAATTGAGAAGATACAAAGAAGAGCTTCGCGAATTGCTTTAGGCCAAAGAAGACAAGAGATGGCGTATAAGGAGAGGTGTAAAATTCTTAAATGGAACTCTTTAGTACAAAGGAGAGATTTCCTTTCCTTAGTGGAATGTTATAAAACTGTATTCAATCTAAATGGATTGAATTTCAGCGACTATTTTGAACTTTGTAAAAACACTAAATCGAGATCTAACCACCCATATAAACTACAACTCAAACTCGCAAAACTGAACTGTTACAAAAATTCTTTCTTTGTCAGAATTATCAAACCCTGGAATAATCTTCCTATTAATTTATTTAATTTTTGTGACAGCCCTAACGTTCGTGAGTTTAAATCAAAATTGAAGAAACATATGAATATTTATTGAATCGTCATTTNGGTCCCAACACGGAACCCTGTGGTAGTCCGCACGACAACGAACGCGTGACAGACCGCGCACCACGAATGCTCACAAAATGAGATCTGTCGCTCAGGTATGATTTAAACCAGGCCAGAGTTAGATCGCAAAGACCAAAGCGGTTAGCTAAGCTCCCAATCAGTATAGTGTGATGAACCGTATCGAAAGCGGCCGATAGATCTAATAAAAGTAAGATAACATTCCTATTCCTATCAACGTCTAGAATAATGTCATTAAAAACTTTGACTAAAGCTCTCTCGGTACTATGAAATTGTTTATATGCAGATTGTAGTATTTCATCAAGTCCATTACTAGAAATGTGATTTATCAACTAAGATGCCACCACCTTTTCAGTTAGTTTTGGCAAAAAGGTATAGAGAGAATTGTGGTTTAATGAGGGTCCGGTTTAGAGGGGTTCCACTGTATAGTCACTCTTTCATACAATAATTTTTTTACCCTGAGCCATCTTTACTATCCAGTGCGCTGTGAATTTTCAGATATACTGATCGGAATAATATTAATGATTCAAAATAGTTTCATGCAATGAAACAGTGAATCAATTTGTAATATAGTGTATGCATTAGAAAAAAAAAGAATGTCCATGACGCGGCAAAGATCATTGATGCGTATGACGGTTGTACCTGTTGACGTAACTGGCTCCACACAATAGAACCTGGCAACCACTAAGACGCATAATTGTAAAGTTTTAATCACAATATTTATTACCATAGTCAATGATCTTCGTTGGTTTATTTAAGCTTTCTTTTATCCACAAGTAGCAGTTCGATCTAATATGTTAAGAGGCAACGTTTTAATCCTTTCTTCAGTGTCAAATCAGCTTACAGGTTGCGCTTTCACAATTCGAACATGGAACACATTGCGTTCCCCGTCCACAGGGTGATGATCTCTCACAGGGATCAGGATGACACGATCCACTTGGAGCTGTATCCGTACAGAATACTGAAAAAACCAGAAAAAGAAATGTTTTGTTACTGTATAAGTGATTTTCCAGCTTCTCTAAGAAGTCCCCGTCGCCACAGTAACACCCCATCACACAGGCAAAATTAAAAGTTAACGATAATCGATATTTGTCACGAGAATCTCAATCACGCCGCCAATAACAGCAATTTTTCTTAGCTAGACCGTAGTATGCTCATGACTATGAATTAAAAGGCTTTAACCACAATAATCAGTACCATACCTAGTTTATCACCAAGCGGCGCTCTCTTAAAAATTCTACCTCCAAACACCTGCGGAAATAAAACTATGCTATCACAAACATTTATATTAAACGTAAGTGTGAGTAAAACTCTGAGATATCGATTGAAACTAGAAAATAACTGGATTGTACCAGGGCTAGACTACTAGGGAAAATATTCAAGAAAAAAATTCAGATTTAGGCATGAATTCAAAGTTTTGTGTGTACTTTTGTAAAGTTTCCAAATAAATCACAGATAGCAAGCTGACCTCATTCACAGGTTAAATTTTTTCTCTTTATATATGTACTTTCCGTTCATATTTCCAATTGCCAAAGATCATATGCGTGAAAATTGCAAGGGACACGTCAAAAGCTGATAACATATCGGAGCTCAT